CAGTGTGTCTCCTAACTATCTGATCACTGAAACAGGCTCTTCCCAGCTTGATTTTTTTTTCTGGTCCCATGCAAACTGACTTAACTTTAACCAAGAGTACAAGACGGCCATACCAAAGTTCATACCCTGCTGGTTAGTACATCTCCTGCGAGACAGGAGCTGTGTGGCTGAGCCTGTCAGAATGAAAAGGGCACAGCATCTGGTCTTCTTCCTTCACAGACAAGGGATGTAGGTACCAACCTGCTATGAGCAATGGGACATCGCTCCTCCGCTGACGAGGCATTTCAAAAAGTAGGAGAGCCATCCCAATCTCATGATGATTAGGTATCCCTTGACTGGGGCTTTCAGAAGACTTGGAGCCAGAACTAAAAAATCACTACGTTTTATGTTCATATGCTTGTAACAACAGAAGTCAGATACAAAACAGGATGCATCTGTGGAATAACTTTTGAAACCCCTAAAATCAGAAAAATGTATCTTCAAAGCACAGAGTATGTTTGGGGATGTTTTAAATCATTCCCTACAGTTTAGGGCCAACTGTTACACAGAAAATTGGAGATGTTTCCTAAAATTTAACTTGAAACTGCTACTGATAAAATCCCCTCAGCACTTTAAGTAGAGATTAGCAGTCTGTCTTATGAAATCTGTTTTATGAACATCAAAAATAGGGATACTGATAATTTGTTTTAAAGTAACTCCAGTTTTCTATTCTCGTCAGTGGACAGCAGAAAATAAAGAAACTGTGTACCAATTATAAAATCACATCTTAAGTTTTAAGTCTTAGGACTCTTTCTCCTTCTAAGTACTAGACTCCAAAAGCATCACTTCCTTTCCCACCACATAACAAAGCCACACTGAGTAAATTTACCAAAGCTCAGTACTCAGGCTTTTAAAATTAAAACCGCCATACAAATCAGTTAGAAGCAAATGCAATTTTAAAAGTATTCCCCCTTCTTTAATTTTGGTATATACTGCCATCTACAGGTAAAAATCCAAAAAGTTAATCCCAAGGGAAATGCAGTTATCTGAGATCCTTCTACTGGGGTCAGATCCATAAACCGAAGCATATATGCACCCCTCACGTTTGCAGGCATTTTTAGAGGGTTCTGGCCACAGCGGAAAGGTTGAAGCAAACTTATACTAAAGGTTGCCTTGGATCTATATAGATTTATACTTTTCTGACACCAAAACCAAATCGCTACTTGGGAGTTTCTCCAAACTGAATTACATCATTAAAGATAATATCATTAAATAATAACAAGAAATAATAATGAACAATCATTGTTCTTGTTATTTAGTAGTTCCTTCCTCTGAGTCACTTTACTGGTAGTTGGCAACCACAGAGAAGCATGATTTTGTGGCAAAAATTCTTCAGGAATGATCCCCCTGTGATTAGTATTTCTGATGCACACAAAACATCCATTTCTGCAGAGGCTACATAAAAGCGAGCAGAAGCAGTAGGGAGGAGATTATCAGCCAAAGAGCTTGGTACCATGAGTTCCAAGCAATCCTGCAATTATGTAATAATTCAGAAAATTTCTCAAGAGGTTATAAAAATGATGCATCTTAGCACTTGAGAGGATGTTAAGCTTTACAACAGTAAAAATGTACACTACCCAACTCCTTAACGGTCTAATTTTGATGACAACTAAAAAAATGTTAAAAAACAAACACACGTAGCAGAGAGATGTAGTGGAAGGAACCAGGACCAGCACCCTCTGAGCTTTAGGGCTGAGTATTTATTAATTAAGATGGACTAACAAATTCAAGGCCTCAGACAAAAATATTCAAAGGGTTGTGGTGAAAATGAAAGGAGTTCCAGTATCAAACAGCTGAAACGAAAGCAGGCAATTCTAGCCATATTTAAACTATCCCCTGCCTTCAGCACAGAAACTCCTACCCAGAAATTACAAATAAAGCTGAATATTTGCATGTTCCCTATGCTCTTAGAAAGGCTGTTTTAAATAGTATTCAGTTCACTACCCCAAACCAAAATAAACTAGGTAATTAGCATGGGGTAAGGAAGGTTCAAAAGGCGAGAGTCTTCTGTGGTAATACTTAAATTTAACACATTTTAGATTTATTTCACATTTTATTCATATGTATCAGTAGAATGTCTCTTTATTTTCTGTGTTAAATATGAATAACACTAAGGTTATTTTTAAAGATAGCATTGGGCTATTTCTACAGTAAATCAACTGTAGAAACATATACTTAATGGCAAAAAGAAGGCAATGGGGGAATTACTGCTTGGCCCACTTCATCCACATTTGGGATTTTTTTTAAAAGCAAGAACTGAAGTTTTATTTGCATGAGCTAATCTCTGGTAGTATTTAAAATGTTGACAATTACTTCATTAACATGAAATTAGGCTTCATGTTGTACCATTGTATACATAATTCATACTTACAGTGGCTCTTCCTTCTCAATTTTCTTCCTGCTATGAAGATCCTCTTGTTCCTTCATTTTATCTACAGCTTGTGCTTGTTTCTCAATCTCATTAAAGCTCTGGCTGCTCACTTTTTGTGCCCCCAAACCACCTTTTTTGGCACCGAGCTTGATTTATTGAAAAACAAAAAAAAAAAGCCCCAACATTATAACTGAGACAATCACTTCAACTGAGTTAACAGTTGACTTTGAAAGCAACGGCAAACACTGTACTCCGTTTGGGACCATATGCAAACAGGAATGAAAATTTGGAGGAAAGAAAATATTTTTTCATGTTTCGACCTTCTATGTGCTTCCTCTACTAATTCTTACAAATTTAATTAGTTCTGCAGTCAGCCATCACAGGGTAATGAAACTAATACAGTTTTAATTGTTTGGAAGTTGACATGTTCAAATAAATGTTACAATATATAGCACAACTTCAGTTTCTTAGTAATTATTTTACTGCATAAGAATAACATAATAAAATTTGTTGCAATGGAACCATTTGGTGCTCATTCATTTAATTCACAATTTACATTTAGAAGTGGCAAAGATTCTTCAATTAGTTCTCACTGGCCAGTGCTAGTGTATTCTCTTAAGATTAAGCATCAATTTATTCATATTTTTAATAAATGTGTACATAGGTATTTACTGATTTATGGTAGGAGAGCAATATACAAGTTTTGTATATATGTGTATGCATGATTAGCATTCGCATGTGAGAAAGCATTGTAAACTTTTTTTAGATACACACGTCAGCTGAGAGGTTCCAGTTTTGCACTTGTTCTTTTCAAATAATTGTATTTCTAGTTCATATCAGTTCATTACAGGCATAAATATTCCTTCATTCTGATTATCGAAGATTTAAAAACCACTTATTACTACAAACGTGGATACAGTGATGCTGATTCAGACAGTGGCACAGCACTCAAACTGCTGTTCTTAGTCTCCCACACATTTAATTCCTCATATGCAACACTGCAGCAATACTAATTTTCACAGTACATTTAACTTTCTAATGCTTTAAAGTCTTCATGTAAAAGTTCTAGCCTATGTACATACAGTTTTAGGCTCTGGTACTATGGTTCACAAACTGTACATGCACCTGTGAACCCAGTTATGTTCTTCTTACTGTAAGGGAACATACCTGCATAAATCATTTAGAATAAGAAACTCCTCTTGCGTATTAGGGCCCTCTAGTGGGAGCAAGAAATAACAGGTTTCAACCTAAATTACTCTTCTGCTCCAATAAATCTTCAAAATCTTTTGCTGTACAATACCCCAGGCTTAAAAGAAGTGACTCATTGTAACATATTGTCACCCTAATAGCCTAACATTAGGGCTATTTTCTTGGGACTCAAGAGCCAAACATTCAAACCCTAGCTTTTCCTAGCTAACTTGAGTGAACTTCAGCTGTCTTACTCAGCTTTCAGGTTTCCTGAACCATCATTCTGAAATACTCAACTCTCCTCATGCCTTCTTTATGGAGACCAGATGCCTAAGATCCCATGTAGAAACAAGCCTGGAAACTATCTTGAAGCAACTATCTTGAATTGAATGCAACTGCAAGTTATCTATAAATACAACCAAATACCATACTGCTGCATGGCATGAGATAAGGACTGCTCCAGAAACACGTATCTGAATGCCTCAAACTCACCTTACATTGACAGATTATGCCACGCATGCAAATTTAGACACTCAACAGTACTATTGGAACTCCCACTCTGTTTTCAGGATTTGCTACAAAAAGATCTCAAGGCCAACTAACTTAGGTGAAAGCCTGAAGAAGCCCTGTAACCCAGTATCAGCAAGTGAGAAGAAAGGTTACAGGGCATCAGTGAAGTTGCAGGGGCAATGGGGGTGAAAAGAACTGAAAAGAAGTGGGATACAGACCTTGACATCAATATATGCTTTGACATTTTTGTTTTACTCATTTTTTAAAAGATATCACCTTCTGTTCAGGTCCAGGCAGCACAAAGAAAATGACACTCAGATATACATGTGGAAGTCTAGACAGTTCAGTGAGCTACAAACATATGAACAGTCTTAGAATTCATCTGAGGTCAGAAAACAACCCACAGATCTGAAGCACTCTACTGGATAATAACAGTAACCTGCTAGACAAATTCATGTTAACAGTAATCCATTTTCAAACAGACTACTGGCTGTTTTGATATAGAATGGTTTTCAATTCCATTTTAGTTTCATCAATCATTACTGATACAAGTACTGTTTAGTGCTAATGTACATGATACATTTCCATACTGCAATCCACATATTTCCAGAGATCTATAATACAGATAAAAATATGTATTATTTAGATACACTTACCCCCTTCTTTGCTTGATTTGGCTTCTTTTTTATGAAGGTGGTGTTCTCTGCAAGGATTAAATGTACATTACTTGACATACAATTTTATTAATTCCAAACTGCAGAAGATAATTTCCACAAGATCAGCCTCAAAACAGTTTTTGGAATTTTAATGCCTTGAAGTATTGCAGTTTCTACACTAAGAGACTGAGATACTAAACTGAGTTACAGGGAATGGAGCTGTGAATATCTCCAAGAAAATGTGGGAAACTGCCTCTGATTGAGGATATGGCATCTCTTGCAAATACATAATAGGAATAAAATTACAGCTCAGCTTTCAGCTGTAGATACCTGCTAGTAAACAGAACAAGAATGCAGGATTTGCTATTCTGAATCAGTCTAGAGGTCCACCTGATCCCGTACCATTTCCAAGATGAATTGTTTCCTGGATAGAAAGGTAACGGCTATGTTTAAAACCACCAATGATACAGATAAAACATACCTGCATCATCATAAACAAAATCACAAACATTATCAGAGGTGACAACATACTTTATCACTAGATTGAACAGCTTTATTCAACTGCCTAAGTAAAGTACTGGGAGTTTGACAGTTATAGCCTTAATGCTATGTATTAAATCTTGAACCATAGAAAAGAAATTAACTTACATTCTGCTCTGCATGAAGTCTGACACAATTCATAATCTTGATATTTTTAATGAGCCCCTAATAGGACTTACTACATTCTGCAAGGCACTGTATTGTGCCTTCCTGACAGCTACCCTCAGCCAGGGTAGATCTCCCACAATCATGAGTTTTCAAAGAACTCATATTGAATGCTCATACATACAGAAAAAATGGTTTGAGCTGAAATTTAGTTGTAAATAGGCATACACAGAACAGAGATTCTTCATGTGAGATAGAATTTGTGATGTCCAAAATAAACAAGGAAAGACTTGCTTTATGAGAACGTGTGTTAAAGATACAAATGACAAATTCAGGAAGCGTATACAGTTAACTATTTTTCCTACTCTCCAGCTCTCAAAAAAACCCCAAACCCACAAAACCAAACCCAATTAAGGGAATACAAAACCAGTCATGAAGACTATACCTTCCTGAAGGACTGAGTTACACCCAGACACCACTTCTTTACTACCCCTGTGCTGCTGAGAATCAATGCTCTTTATTCTCGGGAACCTGCTCATGCAGGATGATCCTCAAAATGATAAACCACTGGTGTATTTTATTCTATTCTATTTTCCTCAACTTTTTTTTTTTCCTTACTTATAGTATGATACACTCTTCAGTGTTAAGTAAATTAAGACTCTGGACATTGAAGATACTGTATTACAAATAGAAGATACTTCCAGTTTAAATTTTTATGTTTAGTTTTCTGAGAAGGGAGTAAAAACTATGTCTAGATAGAAAGACTGACCTATGACCAAACAAGATGTGTTTGCTTAACATAAATAACAAGCCATTAATCATAGCACAATGGTCTATTCCACCTGTGTCCTTTAAATGTAGAACTTAAAGCAGTCTGATAGGAGGTGTAGAACATTAATGGCCACCTTTACTAAGTGTGATACCTGTAGCATTTAAATTCATCAGGTTGGCTAAGATAAGATAGATAAAACCAGAACAACACCGACTAAAATTAATTTCTTAGAAGGAGTGCACTGTTTAACAGAAGAAGTTGTAACACAAATTCAGATGTTTCAACTAACTCATGCGCATTGATATTAAAGTAAGAATTCCACATCTCTTCTCAGTCATACATTCTCTGTACAAATTAGTATTTAAGTACTCTATACTGGCTGCTATCTTCTGTTTACATTCATTACCTAACGCAGTTTTTGGTGATGTACTAAGGCAATCAACACTCGGTCCATGTTCTGGTCCTAAAACATAATAAATAACAAGGGTGAGAATATCAGAAGGCTCTTCAGAATGCTTAAAATACCAACAACACAACTCATGGTACTCAGGGTACTGTTTGATACATACTATGTAATGTGTTATTTCTATCACAGCTTTACCAGTTGCTAAAAGAGCAGCAGGCACCCAAAGATTTATCTGAAATCTTTTAAATTAAATTCTAATTTGGATTTCTATTAAACATTATTATTAAAGGAACATGCAGTCTCACACATTCTAACATAACCCTTCTAAGAAGTCCTTCCTCTCCAAAACTGTTGCATTACTAGCATGGTTAGGTTATTTAACTATTAAAGTAGAGTCTAAACAAAGAGATTACCAGAAAAATGCAGCTTATTGTTAACAAAGAATCAGTCATACCTTCACAGCATTCTGGAATATTTCCTGAAGTTTTCTGCTGTAGAGAAACTGGCTCTGGTTCTGATAACACCCACTCTGTATTCTTTGCCTTGAAAAAAATCAGAAAATCAAAAGTGCACACAAAATAGAGTACAGTATACAAAATAAATATGAGAACAGAGCTCAAAGACTGCCTAAGCACCACTGATTAGTTAATATTACATATATTAGTTAATATGCATTTTAATTGTGCTTTAGACATTGTACGCTGGCTCAATTTTCTTTACTCATAACAGTAACACAGTACAGGAAATCTGGATCATTTATTTACATATAATCACCAAACCTTCTCCCCAGACTAAGCTCTTATACTTCCAATTTTCTAACGTTTGATTTTTGATTGTGAGCACTCCTCCCAAGTCTTCCTGATAAGTCCTCCCACTTCCCTCAGACACATCCTCCTCACCAGGCAGGCTTGTGACCTGGTCACAACAATATCTGCTTAGTATTATCTTTTCCATCAATGTTGTGTCACTGCCAGTTCATGCTTACTCTTTCCTAAGACCTCAATCTCAAAACTTCCTGACTTCTCTCTCCCAAAACATCCATACCCAAACAATCTCTTGCCCTGAGGTACACAGTCTGCTTGTCTCTAACATCCTGCCTTTGCAGCTACCCGAAAAGTTTGCTGTGAAAATTGACTTTATCCTACCCACGCATTCTGTTAAGAGGACTTGTATTGAGTTCCTACTTCTTGTCCTCAACCTCAAAAATATTTACAACACTTTTCTGCTTTTTTTCTTTAGCTTGCATCAGTTTATGCTTTTCCCACTCAACTGCAAGCATTCTCTGAAGCTGCCTTTTGCAAACTGAAATGTTCCATCTATTTTTCTGCTATCAGGACAGACGATCTTCTGGTGATGACACTACACTAGGCTTCACAATAACTGGGGGTTTTTTTGGTCTTTGCAATGAGCATTTACGAGTTACACAGCAATCTTCCCAGTCTGTAAAATGAAAAAAACTCTTTCACTGTTTCAAAGATGCTGAAATTTATTTTTATGAGATATTCAAATATTAGCTGCAGTAGAAGTTCCTAAAATCAAATAAGTAGCAAAAAAGCTTAATTTCCTTTTAAAACGCACCATTTTTGAAACCTCACAAATACAACAAAGTTACATTTTGAAATGTTACAACTGAACAACCAACACTTAAAAAAAATTTCATTTAAATTACAGCCTTTTTTTGTTCTTAAGCATCCCGTATATACTAGACAGTCACTAAAAAGTCATGTCATTTTTACTGTGTTCTTTACTGAGGTGCAGATATGAGCAACTTGCATAGGATTTTATTACTTGCTACTAATGCACATGCACAACCACAATGTCATGATGGGGGAATTAACGTGTGTGTGAACTGGCAAAGAGTTTTCACAACAAGGTCTAATCTGATATACCCAAGCTCCTCTTTGAGTTCTTCTCTATCCCAAAATATGCATCATGATCATACTTGTGTTTTAGGTGTTCACAGACTGCAACTGTACTAGAAAGAAATTATACTAGAACACTTAATATTGTTGCAATATTTAGGAATACTAGGGGTAGTAATAATTTAATTGCTCTAAGTTTAAGATCACAGTTGTTGAAGTTGTTTTCACTGGTATTTTTCAAATATCAGACTTAAGAGAGTCTCTGAAACATTAATCTGTGAAATAAACACAGCATGTATCACCTTAAGGAGGTAGGATCAAATACATTAAAATCAACATTAGCAATAGCCTCAGAAAGTTCCTTTAACTTTTTCAGAGAGGATATTAGTATTTTGGAGGAAGGAAAAAAGCATCTGCTTAGCAAACGTTTTAAGAACTGTTAAACTTTACTGATTAAAACCAAAGCTACCACACAGTATATTTAAATCAGGGCACTCCCAAGCAAGGAATCATGAATCCAAGCGGAATTGTATGCCTACAAAACCACCATAGTTTCATTCCACATTTAGCTACTATTTGGGTCATTCTAAATTATCACGTTAGAAAGTGGTTCACATCCAGGAAGCATTCTGAGAGAATTTCTGAGACACCCACAGAAGGAAAAGCAGATAAATGTTAACTCCCTGACCTACCCTTTCTCTATAAGGTTTTCTTTCAGGGTTTAATCTTCACCATAGAGCACACAGCTAACCTAAATGTTTAGAAAGCTAACAAGAATTAAATAAAGGTAATCTATACCTTGGGAGAAACATGGGATGCAAAGAAGTCTTCCTCCTTGTTTTGAGGTGACACAGGTGGCATTCCACATCCATCTGTCCATAACTAGAATTAAAAGAGAGAGATAATTTTACAGGACAATCGCATAAATATATTTTTTTCAAATGCACTAATCTTAAACCTACTCTCTTTTTTTTTCAGGTTAAAAATGTATTGATTTTTTTTTTCCCTGGTACATAATTTTCCTTACAAATTAATACAAACTTCAATATATGACACTCCTTTTTTTTTTTATTTCATACATCTTTGATATGTTCTTTCACATTACGCATTTCCTTCCTAACAAAATGCTCAGTGTAATCTCTGCTGCAGTAATAGTCAATATCTTGTATCATGAGAGCTTTCTAATAAGTAAGTTTTTTCATATTCTCATATAAGGTATTTGTTGTGGTTTAACCCAGCTGGCAATTAAGCACCACACAGCCGCTTGCTCGCTCCCCCCTGACCCAGTGGGACGGGGGAGAGAATTGGGGAAAAAAAAGTAAGACCCATGGGTTGAGATAGAGACAGTTCAATAAGAGGAAAGAATAACAATAGTAATAATGAGAATGGTAAGAGAATATACAGAATATACAAAACAAGTGATGCACAATGCAATTGCTCACCACTCGCTGACCGATGCCCATCCCATCCCAAGCAGCAATCACTCTTCGAGCTGCGATCACTCTCCAAGCCGCGATCCCTCTCCCCCCGACTGACCAACTAACTACCCCCAAGCATGACATTATATGGTATGGAATAGCCCTTTGGTCAGTTTGGGTTAGATGTCCATCAACTTAAATGCACATGATATATTATATTTACTTGAACATGTTTTACATCTAAAGCTGTTTAAGTCAAAAGAAATATTCTCTGAAGTTAGTGATGTGAACTATATTGTCTATAACATCTGTAACATGGAATTCTTATAATCCATTAAATTTCACTCTACTTGATGTACAGATTAGAAAAAAAACCCAAGCTAATTCCCGCTCATCTGATCAACTTCACATGAATCAGTCATGGACTTTAACAAGCTGAATTAAACTATCAAAACACGCTTCCTGTGTATGCAGAAGAGCACTGTTGTCAAATTTAACACCTCAGCAAACTAATTCTACATACTTTGCTAATAACTTCTTCCTGTCAGCAACCTAACTTAAGGTTTTCATAGCACGCATGAACTGTTTCAACATTTTTAATGGAGAACAGCAAGTTCAGGACATATATAAATTGCCAGTTTTTCAAAAATTATTTTTGTAGGAAAAAAGCAAAACACACATGTACCAGTTCAAAACAAATCCCACTCAAATCACAGATATTTTGTAGTTAATTCTATTAGCACTTTTACATTTTTACATGCTGCACTTCTCAATAATAACTCAGTTCCAGAAAAGCAAAAATAAAACCACTATACAGTTCGCGGAGAAGTGCTGACATTTTTTATGCAATACCACTAATATAATTTTGGAAAACATCTGCAAAACAAAGCAGTTTTGAAGAATACCTGAAGTTTGTGCCTGGAACTCCTGTAAGTTACTGCAAATGTTACAATTAATGTTTTGGGTAACCCAGAAGTCATCCTGAAATATCAGGTTGAGCTCTATCTCAATATTCTTTTTCCAAACAAAAAAAGATAAGCTGCAAATAGTTTACACCCCAGCTTGCCTATTCACTGCAGCGTGTATCAGTACCTCCCAAAGACAGATAATCTTTTGCATTAATAATTAGAAACTTAAAATGACTGTAGAGGGAAAGAAGATAAAGGTTTTCAGAAAACTAAATGACACGGGATACACACTACTCACATCAGTACCATACTTTCTTGTTGCTTGTGTTGCAAGAGATTTAATCTTTTCCTTGTAAAGCTGAGCACCACGACTGTTATACTTTGCATTGGTATCATTTGTTGTGCATCCATGTTGATGGAAGAAAGCAGACTATGAAGCAGAAAACAGAAAATGCTATGAGAAACAGGTTTAAAACCTTACGGCATTTAACACAAAAATACACTGCAATGCAGCAAAATACTCTGCTCCCCTATCTAAATTTAAATTATTAAGACTATGTAAACCTCCAAAATAAAAAGAAAACCCCAATCTGGCAACCTCTCTATGTATAAGTAAAACAACAGAAACCCCAAATAGATTAGTGGGACATTTTAAAAGCATATAAAGTACAAGTTTCCCATCATATACAAAGAATCCTAGTTGTGAAACTAATTGTAGAAAGGAAGAGGTAATTGATTGCCAATACCTGTGCTTCAAAGGACGTTCCTGATAGTCTAAAAGGCATTGCTTGGCTTCATCTCTAGCATGCTAGAGCAAACAATGTATGTTCGATAGCATCAAAATGACTGTATAAAAATGGTCTTCCTTCAAAAGAAAAGTATATGTATGCACGTATATATGTATGTACCTATATATTTATATGCTTGTGTATTTATAGGAAAGTATCAAAGAAAAATTTTGTTCATATTTAGGATCTTAAACTAAATGCAAATCAATACACTTATATAAGAGTTCCACAATGGGAAAGGAAAAAAAAAAAAAAGTTGTTTGAAAGATGAAGACGTGGAAAAGTGGGGCATTTTTTCAGTACCAAGAACTGACTAGCAAATCATGTCATACGTTCCTGCAGTGAAGAACACGTCAGACTATTACAGTAAAACAACAAACAAGTTTCTGATAGGATCAGCAAATCTAGATAACCTAAGGTTATGACCTCATATGTTGCAATTGCAAAGCATAAATCTAGCATACAAGTACCAGACTTCATATAAAAATTAAGCAACAATGATGCAAGAGAACGATAATGTCAGTCAACTTCTGCGATTACAACAGACAGTCGTAAACATTACAGGTGCCAAAACTATTGTGCATTTTTCCAATTAAATATATACACCTATCAACTTGATATTCAGAGCTTTTTTTTTTGTAAACCCTAATTTCAATTATCGTATTTATTCCAAAAACTAAGAACCCTTCAGATGTTCTGCCAATCCAATACATAGCTACGAAGCTCAGGACTGCTGTTATCCAAGATTCAGCATCACCAGGCAGTTATAGAATACAAACGACTGATGTTAATCTGGTGGTGCTTCTAAGCAGTAGTTAGTGAAAACAGAATTTGGCATTTAATTGGAACAAAAAGGGAATTACTTTTTAATGCAATTAGAAGAAAGATGTTGATTCTACTATTTAAATGTCCGGAGAGTTTACTAAACTTGTCTTTAAAATTTCAGGTATTAATCATTCCAGGTAATCCAAAACAGGCTATTGTGAATTTGAGATATTTGAGAGGTGGGTGTGGGTATACTAGACCTCTTGGTACAATGCATGATAGGAAACAGTGACATCCAAGCAGAAAGACAAAAAGTCATAAAATTAAATAGTAAAGGTTTACTGTTACACTTGTGGTAACATACTTTCTAAGATTAACTGAAGTACTTTTCAAACTTTGCCGTCTCTTCCTTCTGACTGCCTTAAAACCTTTCGCTAAAAATGAAAATATTTTTCATGCAAAATCTCCTAACAAACGATGAGTAAATTCATTTAACAGCAGTATTAATACAGAAAGGTATAACTTAGAAAGGATAGGCAGAAGAAAAAGGGGGAAAAGACATCACTTTACTTCTCAAGGCAGCATGCAACTGCTCAGATCTGTAAGCCAGAGACAGTGACCTGCTGAATGACTAATTCAAAGAAAAAGGTTTGTTTGGAAAATGCAGAATAGGAAGCAAAATAATAGTGATCCTGAATTCATCATTCTTTGTATGGAAAAAAAAAATAGAAAAAACAGCAGAATATGAAAGTGTTAGACTTAAGGAAAGCAGATTCAAGCAAGCTCAAAATTGTTAAGAAAAATCCTACAGAAAGCAAGTTTGGATTAAGTTTCTTAAACAACATTAAGGACAAAGCACAAATGAAGAAAGATAAGGGGTAAGCATTAATGGAATTAGGAGAAAAGTAGAAATCGCTTAGGGAAGTTGCATGTTTCTTCACTGGGTGGGTCAACTTAGGTAAGCAATCTCAGCTATTGGTGGTCAATCAAGATTCTGAAAGAGCTGACAAAGGACAACATCCTCTTTCAAAATGGTGGTTGAGAACAATTGAGTTCATTTTACAAAAATACCGTGTAACAAACTTATTTGTAAGTACATAAAAAATCAAGTTGAGAGTAACAGCCAATATGAATTGGCCAAAATCAAAACACTGCTATTTCCTCTCTGACAGCATAGCATGTCATATCTTGACTGCAGCTGTACCTCAGTTGTAAGTCAGATCTTAACTTCAGTGTGACTTTTGACAGTGACATGATTTTTGGCATGATATTTTAATAAACTGCGTAAGGATATATGGTCACAGGAAAATGCCTGTAAGCTGGGTTTACAAGCTGTTGGAAAGACATTGTTCAGCAGCTGTCAATGTTTCACTGCTGAATTAGATAGGTATGGACAAAGAATCTGATCTGTCCTTTTCAGTGAGTTTTATTAATAATTTCTGAGAAAAAATAAAACGTGCAGATTATACCAAGATAGAAAAGTTGCAAGAAGTAAGGAGGATGAAATCAGCAGTCAAAGGAACTCTTACAAACAAGAGGGGGAAAAAAAATAAAAGAAGATAAATGAACAGGAAAAATAGAAATATCCCAAGAATTTTAGCAATAAGGACAAACAATAGATTCCAAACCTAACAAGATTCAATGTGTAAAACAAATACTCAGAAGTACATACAGCATTTGCATTTCCTCCAACTTGCATGCATCTCAGCTGAAACCAAGACCAATTGGAATCCAGTTCTGTAGATCTAAATAGAAGGAAACATTTTTAATGTTATCTCCAAACCCGTTTAACAGCTATCATTTTTTTTTTGTAAAGTGTTTCTCTTCCCCACTTTTTTTTTTAAAGTGAAAAACATGTATTGGTTAAAAAAAATGTGCAACAATACACAATGTGCAAGACAAATTAATAAAGTCATGTAGAACTGCCACAGTTTTTCAAACTGTAAAAGTTTGGAAAAAATGCACCCTCTGGCTGACAGGTTTTCCCTTTTAAAAAGCACCAATGAGATACATTTTCAGGAATCGCATTTGAACTCTGTCAACAGCAGATGACAAACACATGTAATGGACAAAGTGACAATTTGAATGTCATATGGAAACAAAAATTTGAGGCCCAGTGAGTAGGAGGAGAATTAATGCTGTGATCATTAGGAATGGACTCGAGAGGCCTCTTGTAGTGCTCTTGTATACAGCAAAAAGGCAGCAGAGGAGGAGTATGGATTTTAGTTCAAGCAGAACCTTCCATTTCAAATGCGTAATTATTTATTAGGCCAAAAAGGCCCACAGGCCATCAGTTAGGATACTCACCAGAAATGTGACACGCTCAGGGTGCTGATTTACTGCACCAACCGATTGACTGAGCTAAGCCATTGCCAAAGAGGGTAGCCCTTTACACTACCCCAGCACTAGCACTCAGGTGGCACCATAACGAACTACTGCAGGAAGCAAAGCTGGCAAAACGTGACTTAGCTCCCTGAACTGGCTTGCTAGGGGCTCAGATTATGAGCAATACGCTATAACACTGTCAAAGATGATAAACTAATATTTGCCTCGGTCTTGATTTGGAGGAGTGATAACAACACTTCAACGTGCTTACTCTGTTCTTCATTTTCACCATCTTCAGTGTAGAAACAAATCTGCCAACAAATGTGCACTCATAACACAACAAGCAGGTAATGGGAATGGGTGCATGGTACAAATTCTACTGAACCCTACCTATTTACCTAATTCCCAAGCAGCTATCAGATACCTTAAAGCCAATACAAATATTAAAACGGTCTGAATCAGTAGTTGAGAGAAGAATGGGTTTTCCTCTCTGAGCAGGTATCTGAACAAACAAAACCAGTAAAAGATGCAATTTTTATTATAAAGATACTCAAACTACTTACCGAATGAAACTCAAATGAACACCAAGTGATCGATGGGTCCCCGAACAATCAATACAGAGAAAAACTCCGTATGTTATGCTTGCCCAGCTAGGGTTCTTCGCTCCGCAGTCAAAACATACCTTAAAGAAAATAAAGATCAGTAACAGGACTTGAGCATAACGACATCTTATAGTTGTATTATAAGTCACGCTAACACTCTTGCATCAATCAAACTTAATTAACTTATTGTCACAGCATCTGTTGACATGACAACTTCATATTATCCTAATTTTATAAATATAAAGAGGAGTTACACAATCTGCCCATGCTTGTGTGTCTTTGCCCTAACTAGACAGGACTACACGCCTTCCTGGTTTCTGACTATAACCAGCGAACACATGGACCACAGGTTGAGAAACCGTGGGTCAGAGAACCCACATCAGTCCAGTTCAAACACACATTTAACACAGTACCTCCAGCAATACTGAAATACAAAAACATTTAAGACATAATTCCCCAAGGGCAGGCTCTCTTCATGATGTACCACTGAGTCTACTCTTCCCTCAGAATGTACATGCAACTGCAGTTATCAGCAGCGCTAATGACGTCATTATCTACTTTCCTGTATAGAACCCTTGACCCTTAGAGCAAGGCTCTGAAATACCAGCTGTGTGAAGAAAGCCTCCACGCTGTGTACTGCCTAGCTGAGCACTCTCTGCTAGACGTGACTATTTGTATGATGTACCATAACTGTCCATAATACGGACAGGTAAAAAAAACAAATATGCCTGCAATTACTGCATAGACAAACCCAAGAATTTCTTATGCCCTGCCACCACATTAGACTCTTAACATTCAGCCAAAACTACAGGAGGTATCTGTGTCTACAGCTCATATACTTTGCAGGTCTGCAGACCACAACCTTCAAGTAGTCCTGTTTCAGTTATTCTGAATTTTGTACTTCCTTGGCCAAGGAAAGCAAGAGCAAAAAATTTAATTTTATCTGATATGAAGCAATTTTCCAATGCAAGGAAGAACACAAATTTAAACAGAAACAGCTGTTCCTAGCTCATGTCATGTGTACACATCATTATCTGATCAATGCTTTTTCCGTGGTATTTATAAAGGCTGCAAAGAAGTACTTCTACACTGAAAGCGTCCATCTATAGGTATAGTCAGTAGCATCTACTAAGAAATAACTCCACGGAGAGACAAGCTTTCACGCACAAATCAACAGAGTTCCAATCTGCAACTTTATCCTTTAACATCCTCCTATAAATATAATGCATCCTCAGATAGCAAGGGAAGTTCTAGCTATAAGCAGAAAGAAAAAAAAAGAGTTTATTTCAAGTCAGCTGGGGACATACGGAACACCCTACAAGCAGGCCACAATGCTTCCAGCACCAATTTGTCAGGGTGAAAAAAAAAAGGTTAAGAAGTCTCATTGCTAGGAACTCCACTCATACAACTAGATAGGGATTTTTGTCTCTATTTTATTGTACCTATCCAGTCAAACAAGCCCTGAGTTTGTGCTCAGGTCAGCTCACCTATCATTCACCCAAATTAATTTCAAGTACACGCCCAGAAGCAGTTTGAGGCTAAACTCCTCGTTTTAGTGTGCGTCTATTTATGCTTGTACAGTCCAAGTTTATCAGGCACAAGCAAAGTTCACCAGCAGATCCAGCATTAGCTCTTCTGACATATGAACATTTTCAGTCCGAGCTTCACTTTGGCTTATATCCAGTAACACAAATAGAGAGCATGGAGATCACAGTTTCTGTGTGTGCAAGCCCCCTTTTTCTCTCTGAACAGAAACTTAACATTTATTAATGTTAAGTCATTTATGTATCCCACTATTGTACATGGAAATGGGGTACTTCACTGACATATAGCAGAGAGAAGAAATAAGACAAAAGCTATACAGAGTAAGTGACAAAAGGAGGGGTTAGAGGGAGGCCCTGAAATGAGTGCAAATGGGAGAATGATATACAGGGAGTTAGGGAAAAAGAAGAATGAATAACTCTTCATGTATGCCATACTCTAAGGAAACACAGAGCCTTAGTAGTCAGAACTTTTTTTTTTTTTCCTCTAAAGACCCTCCTCTCCTCCTGGGTACAATTATAAGCACTTCTTAATTTCAACACCTTAAAAGTCAATTGCATCACCTTGGGAGCTAGCTGCCACAAAGTAGCATAGCTCAGTATCTTCACTCGTGCAGGACTATCAACTATTTATCAGACACCTGTGAAAATTATTCATGTGCATAAAAGCTGTAGCTTTTAGGACTGTGATGCAAGTAGGAACACCTAATTTTCTCGTGACAGTAATAAGAACTGCCATTTCCATCATGTTATGTAATAGAAATAGAAGCACGTTTCATTAACATGTAGACTCATTTTGCTTCGTTTTCTCAATCTTCCAAGTTCTTCCCATCACATAAATTTCAACAAGGATTGGGGGGGAAAAAAAAAAAAAACAAACCAACTTGAGAGCCACCCTATGAAATCATTTTCATATCAAGAACAGATAAAGTGTATTTTCTATACTGATTTAGGCACAACGAAGATATCAAAATCATTATAAAAATCAATCTGAAGGATATGCTTAAATGATCTCCTGCTTTTAAAATACGCTTGCATCCTTTTTGCTTATTTTGTGTTAAAGCATTTCAGAACAGCCTAGATTCAGTAGCAGTCACTCTGGACAAAAAAAAGAGCAAAAGCACTGAGACGTTTGTACCAGAGCAAACACAAAGACTCAGGTATAATCCACATCAAGCAGTCATTAAATCATACAACATCCATCTTGCGCAAGATACCTATGTTAATAAATAAATACTTATCATACAATGTTATTGGATATGGAAATGTAGTAATATATAGCTTATAGAAATGTTAGGTTTGGCACTCAGAAGTGGCGAGCAGGTTCAGCAAGTTTATCCCTGCGGTCACGGTTACACAGACACTTTCAGCCTCCCATGCAGCAGGGCTACTGCCACAGGGTAGCAGCTCCACATCTCCCTGTGCTTGCCATTCCCATGTGGCAGGCTACCATGCAGCTGCATCAACACTAGAGCAGCTAAAACTCAGGAGGTAGTTTCACATTCAGTCAAAGCGGATCCAAACCCTAGCAGCTACTGTCTTAGTTACCAGCCACTGTATTCAGGTATGATTTCCTTCTTCTTTTCTTGCATCAGCAATAATCATTGCACTTGTTGATCCCACTGGAAACCAGTGCTGTGCTGCTTTGACTCAGAGCAAAGGTAGGTCCAACTCACATCACAGCCACATGACCAGTAATGCCGATATAAGGGAGGGAACAGGAGTGTTTGCCACAGGAACAAGACAGGACTGCCCATTTTGGAAGCGTCACGGTCTCAAAATGACTGACATGAGACATGATATACTGTACTCTACTCTGGGGCAAAAACCATCCCACCCTCCAACACACGTCACACCCACAACACGCACCGTAATAGCAAAACCGAATGACTGATCAACCACCACCTCAACATGCATACTTACTTTTCAGCCAGTTCAGACCCTTGATCTGAGTCTCCAAGCAGAGACATGAATACTATCATCAATGAAAGGAAAGAAAGAACCAGAGAGAAGGGAATGAAAAACCAGCACTGTCAGGGAAACAGATTTATGCCAGATTAAAAGAGACTGTACAGCACAGCCTCAGGGTGCAAGTCTTCAAAACAGGTGAGCTTTACAGCCACCTTAAGCCAACAATACCAGGTAGCTTAGGGACTATGAGCATTTTTATCTGTACAAAATTACATCCTATGTAATAATTGTAATGCATTTGTAAAGCATATTGCTAAGCTTTTAATACAGAACCTTTCCAATATTTGCATTTCTTTCCCATGCCTGTCTGTCCCAACAGAAAAGCCCTACAAATAAAAGGGGCAGACCGCATAAGAAAAACACAAGAGAAGAGAAACAAAACAAGATGTAATCAAACACCAGAGGATACACTGATGACAGCAACAATGTTTACTTAAGCCTGGTTGGATACATGGGCAATGGGAGAGTCCACAGCCCTAAGCTGTTGGTGTTTCCCACTCTCCTTCTTCTCCCTCTTTACAGGTCAGCAAGACCAGGGTTGACTGCGGTGTTAATGAGCTCTCTGCACCTGAGCTACTTTCAAACTGACCTAGTGTGAATGGCACCAACATTGCTCTGTCAACATTGGCACTAAACTTCTGTATAGCACCTGATGTGACGGCAAGCAGAGACAGACACGCTTGAGCAACCACAGGTACCACCACCGCCTCACTGGGTCTAGCACGGTAATGACGACTTCAGAACTGTTCGAGGCTCAGAACATCCTCAGGTTTTCCACCCTCACCAGCTATGGGCAGTACCTTCTGATTCTCTCATGATCCCAATACAGAAAAAGCATCACAACAGCATTACAGAACTACTCTATCTCTTAGACACAGCACCAGTGAATTTCAGGGACCTGTAAAATTTCTTCTCTCTGACTCTCCCTGTTGGGACTAGGACCTTCCCTTGATGAACTTTTTACCCCGTTGCAAAGGCAAGTTTTAGAAACTAGCTGGCAAGTGTTCATCTTTGAGCTATGCTTTCTGAGAAACCAGACACGTGTCTGCTGCCCGTACAGTATGAATTACTTGCGTTCAAAGCACGGAAGTCAGTTCTGGACCAAAGACAGACCTCCAGGCTCGTGTTCCCAGGAAACAAAACCACGGTGATTCTTCATAATTGTTTCCCAGGGTGTTTCTCAGATATATTCACAGTGTATAGCATAACGCCGACACAATGGAGCAGACGGCGCTCAAAAGCAGCAGAGGAGCACGTAGCTGCTGAAGGGTAGTTCTGTTGCCCAACGCTTCTGCCATGTCACCTTGCAGCCTGAGGCACCTTTCCCGGTTCGCAGCTAGCCACCGCACACCTTTGTACGCAATGGATACCAAAGAAAACCAACAGGGCTTTAAAACACTAAAAAATTAAAGTCGCCACTGGATGAGTCAGAAGCAATGAGAAAACATTCAACTGCTCTTCGCCACAGAAGTGGTTGTGCCACAACGGGCTTTGCTTCTTTGATCAAGAAAAAAAAAGAAATCCAAAACAAACAAACAAAAAAAACCCCACCAAGCAAAAAAATCAAACCGCATCCAATGCTCTACGCTGTCACCGGTTTTGAACTTGCTTTTTATTTTTAGGTGAGCTGAGCTGAGCTGACCCTGCTC